CATAGTCCCTTCCGTATACTCTCGTTTGTACCTCGGCGTCGTTACGTACTACTTACTTGACTAACCGTAACGTAACCTAACCTAACCTACTATATATATATATATATATATATATATATATATATATATATATATAAAAGAGAGGTCAAACAGAGGTCAAGGGGGCATATAGACCTTATCTGCGTTAGTTAGGCCTAGGCTATACAGCCTACATCTTCGAAGTTCGATCGTCATTGATTGATCAGATTTTGAAGTCATTGTTTGAAACCGAAGTCTTCTCCGAAATTACCGAACCGACAAACCGAAGTTTGTCTCTCTAATCTTTCTATTTGCTCAATAAAAATTGTTGATCAAATTGTCTCTAGGCCTATTCGTCTTCTTTAAATTATAGTCGTTTGGAGTGAGGATTCATTATCTTGGCCTCATGATTCGTCACGTCACCATATATCATATTATCATCTTTGATGTTTATAATAACTATAACTTAACTTGTAATTATAATTATTTAAGTTATAAGTTTAAGTTATAATAATTATAATAAAGTTAATAATTATAATGATCATATATCTGTTTCGTCATTAATCATAATAATCTTATCCTCAATCCATCACAGCAGTTTACCATTGTACATTTGACATTCAAAGATCATTGATGCAGGTTGCTGGTGAAAAATAATTTTTCTTAATTAGTCAGGACGTAAATGCATTAAGTGACATTATTTTTGATTATGACTCATCCACAGATGATCCGTTGAGTCGACCGATCATTGCGAATGCGGGATATGACATCTCTCACTGGTTTGATGCCAAAACCAATGATGTGAGTACAATCACTACATCAGTCTTCACATAGCATTAGTACCACTATATAGCCCCGTTAGCACTGCCTGGGGTAACTGTACTACTCTGTGGCAGAGTACAGTGTGTACACGAGTATATATAGTGCTCAGTGGAAACAAGTGCCCAGTGATGTACTTCATTATACAAGAATGTATCCTGTGTACTAATCGTGTGATTGCTGTAATAGAGGATCCAAAGTAAACTATTGCCTCTTACACAGCATTTTTAAAGATATCGTCGCTTTGAAAATGACTATGTATGTAAATGATAGTTATGAGTTGACTATATGTTTGTGGTGGTGCTTTGCTATCAGATCAGGATGCATATTGACCCAGAGACAGGATGTTCAATGCCATATACTCCACATGGTCGATTTATTCATGTGCCACCTCCAAGTCCAAGAACCGGTAAGTGTCGAATTTACAAAAACGCATAATTGTGTTGCCAAAAGTCCCTGATTGGTTATTGGTTATTGGTATCAAATGTTGATTGGCCTGTGAAAATGCTGTTTTGTATCGCTTTGTCTCAAATTCTGAACAGTTAACAATTACATCCAAATCCTTGTGGAAAGTGATATAAACTGTTGTAATTATCTCTGCCTTCTACTAGATTGGGCAACAGATTATGGGCGACCATGGTGGCTGGATCAAAAATACTGCATTGGAAAATTGTCAGAAAAGACTCGCTGGATCCATATCATCAACACATTAACCCTACAGGAAGAGAAGGTTGAGGTACACAGACAGTAGTGTTCATCACACATTTTACGTGTCTTCTTCATAATAGATTCAAGCGTGAGTGTCGGTTCGATCCCACTTTGAATGTAGAGTGAGACTAGAATAATGGAAGAGGCCCTAGAATAGACCTTAACCATAACCTTAACCTAAATTTGAAGTGAGATAATATGCATGCTAGCTGTAGAAATTAGTAATGTTCAATAAGATACATTGCTTTGAAGGTTTGTGCAGAGGAAACGCTTGACGAAATACTGAATCGATACATGAAGTACAATTCGCATGCGAAGAGCTACACCTGGAAGTACGACGGCCAAATATTGAACATGACAGAAACGTTGGCAGGAAATGGAATTTCTGACGAGGATGAGCAATTCTACAATCTGCGCATGAGAGACGATGAATTTCTTGTAGCGATTCATCTTTACTTCAACGATGATTTGACTGAAGCATAGATTGTGGTTGTATTGTTTGAGAATGCCAATAGTAAGACTTGGTGAGAAATGCCTAAAGTTCATGCTGCTCTGTGACTGCCATCAAACGATTTAGCTCTAGAAGGGCTACATCTAGTTTGTTGGAATTCAACCTACCAATTTAAACCATGCAAGCTGACAAAAAGCTAGAACCAATAAAATTATTTGTAGTTATTTATTATAGCAATACCATTTCTATTCATTTTTATCACGTTCCATTAATTCATTTATCTTTCAAATACTTCAAAAGAAAATGCAAGTTTAGTAACATATCTTTTATGGCATTGTTACACTGAAACAGAAGATATCCTGGGGGAAAAATCCCACACAATTCCTGGATGGGGGGGGGGGGCAAGAAATAAACCACATGAAAAATATAGGGTTAGGTTGAAGGGATAATTGTGTTTTTGTAAATAGTTTTTTGTTTCATCATTTGTTGCATTTTCGGGTAGCTCACAATTATTACCCAAGCTTATTTTTTATTTTGCTCCAAATAGGGGCAGGTACCCTTACTAGCTATCTATGCACCGCAAGAAAGGATGACGGTATGGGTCATATCTAATATATACATACAAACTTGTACAACTCAATCACATATTTTTGCATTTCACACATGATTAGCAGACAGCTATCTAACGCGGATTCTTGATTTTGCGCGGCTGGTTTTGGTTCTGTTGAATTACAATTCAGTTTCAGTGTCACGTGCCATCGCACATGGAAGAACCACGGTGAACTCAAATTGTTGTACGAATACGGACGAAATATGGTGAAACGAAAAGGGTATGTGGGAGCCTTTTATAGTCAAGCATTAGACAAGCCAAACCTATAAGTTACCATGCTATTGAGATCAGATAAGACTAAGAGTAAGAGTAAGACTCCATTTCTCCTACACCCATTTGGTCTACTCTCAGAATCGGCAATAATGCCAATATTCCCATTTCGCCTACTCCCATTATGTTACCAGTACTATTTATTCTACTTTTGTCAAGTTGTATTCTCATTATTTGTAGGCTACCTATGAGGCTATGTTTTCGGTACAAGTAGCGTTTACACACCCATGTCGTGAGTTTGGTTAGGGTTAGGGTTTTTAAACCTGGGGTTGTCAAATAGGAATGGGCCATGTTTTCTTCGGTTCCTGAGTGTATGCCAATCAAAACCATATTTTATTATTTATATTATAAATGATTATTTAGTGATCGTAGACGAAATGGGAATGGGGTAGATTTTGAGCGTAGATGAATTGGGAGTAGGCGAAATGTGTGTAGGCCAACTCAACTGGGAATTTTTGCTGTAGGCGAAATGGGAATTTTGCCGTGAGCGAAATAGGAGTAGGCCAACTAGGAATAAACCGTATACTATAAACTGCCTTTTTATAACAGGGGTAGGATAGGAATATTCTAGGGTTTTGATCTATAATTCTGTTCACTAACATCGTACCCCAATTCACAGGTGTGTTTCTGTTTACATAAACATTTACAAATATGATTGTGGTCGTTTGGGATATTTTGCAATGCCAATGTTTGTGTTAATGCAAAAACTAAAAATGCACGCGTGTTTACATTAATCATGTACTTTCCTAAGCGCCCCTCAGCCATTTTATACCCCCTATTTCTGTGACCTACATAGCACAGCTGGACTTTCTTATCTCACTTATTCTAAAACCAAATACTGAAATAGGCAGTGGCTGGAGGTACGGCAGCCGTGTCTCCAATTTACGGGGCTGGAGGTACGGCAGTCCATTCGCTTTCATACAAACGAGACAAAGATGGTGGCGAATGGCCGCAGATTTCGAAATAATGCCTTGGGGAAATAAATTCACGATTTGAGAGTTTTGATGAGCTAGAAAACACTCGGATTAGGTATGAAAATGAACATTATTGTAAACTTTACATTAGAAGATCGTAAATAATTGCCTCGGCCCTCAAACAAATGCCAAGGGCTTCAACGAACGACGGCTGCCGTACCTCCAGCCTCTTCCAACCAAATACAGTGTCCGTGTCGGTAATGATAGTAGCTTAGCCGTGACCTCAAGTATCAAAAATGGGGCCCAATTCTAGTTAAGCACCATGGCTTAGTTTAGCACATACATGTGAACTACATATACCGCTGTCCCAAACTAGGATTGATCATTGGCTCGAGCAACAAATTGAGAGACACATTGGCCATTGCATGGCATTGGAAAAAATAAAGAAAACACATAAACATGCAATAATATTGTTAAAATAGTGCAGAAAGGCTAGATAAATAAACAGGGGTAGAAATTAACTTTTAAACACGGGAGTCCAACAGACTCCCTACTCTCAAAAAGAGGGAGTCTGCAGTCTGAAGTTTAAAATTAAAGATATTTTACAATAACGCATGTGCTTATTTTTAAGATTCATGTGGTTGCACATCTGCCAAATTTCCTTTGGACATAAGCTGAAAAAATATGGTAATTCTGCGAGGCCGTGCTCCGGAATGAAATATTTTGTATGGCAGAATTTTCAGGGAGTCACACGGACTCCTGCATATATGTCAAATCAGGGAGTATTTGACTCCGGACTTTCGTTAATTTTAATTTTTAACTTGATATATATTGTATATAATATATAACTTACAGGACGTACTCAACTTACTATGAACAAGTCTGGATTAGGACACACCTGTGTGTATAATGGGCTTAGGGTTAGGTTATATATAGGGTTATGGTGGTGCATCAGGGTGATAATTGATGTTTAGAGTTAAAAGTAGAGTTGCCTACTAAATAATTAACTAAAGCTAGAACTCATACTTATCTTTGTAATCAACAATGTTGATTCTACTAACAGAGGGAAGGCAAAGGGGAAAAAGGAGCAGCAGAGCGATGAGGAGTTTGAGCAGCCGGATGCAACATCGCAGCAATATTACTACGATGAAGTGGACGAGTTTCATCACAACAGACAGAAGGTATACAACAAAGAAACGAGATAGTAAGAGGCTTGGTCACTTGCGCAATCACATGTGCAGAGATGCCAATCACTACGATTTATCCGTATTTTATGCGAATTTCGTTTGCATTTTGACCACTATGACCAGTTTGCATACAACTACGATTTTTATTACGATAGAAAAAAAATCATTTGGATGATATTTCAAGTGTTTTTGTTAAGTTTGTTGTCGAAAAGGGAAAGTTGATCGATTGAGTGAATCACTTGTTTCAAAAGGTACCCGAATGATGACCTTTATAATGCCATTTAGGCAGGCTCGACGATGTCTGTTCCTTTGTTGTGCGTAGAATTTAGTGGCAAACTCCCGTTTGTCAGGTTATACCTATAGTGTGATTGCAACACGGTTATTGTGCCTGTGGTCTGAACTTATGACAAGGAAGGATGTAGGTTTTGTTGTTTGTGAGCGACATCCCGTCCCATTTGGATATCCCGTCTACGTTCAGGAACGGAGCGTATTAGAATGCGCTCCCGTTTACAGGTCTAAACTGCCGTTGCGATAACCGTAGTATTTCAGCGTAATATGAGGGGAAAAAGTTTCATGGAGATGGTGGCCGATGCAAAAACTTGGTGGCCTCCGGGTCGGCACTAATTTCTAACGCTGTAAATAAAGCGTAGTTTATTGATGGAAGAACAGTGATTTTCGTCAGTGAGGCGGTGTTTTTGGATAAATTTCTGCGTGGCGGGTGAGATTTGAGCGAGGTCGTGTCAATGCAGGGGAAACACTGCTATATAATATATACATTGGTAATTACTATGCAAGGAGTACCGGTAAGTATCAGAACGGTTGGTAAAAACATGAGAAATCCTCACTTTAAGCTCAACATTTCATGACTAAGGACGTAAGAAAGTCATACACAAATATATGTGCTGTTCTTCAATTGGTCTCACTTGTCCATTGGTGGGTGTGCCATTCTTACAGTGTGACTTTTTCCCACAGTTGCTGCTTGATGCTGGAAAGGATTTAAGACCAGTACCAGACGATGACCTGGAGGTATGACAAATTTTATCTCCATATCTTCAATGGCACATGGTACCATTACATGATTATCTTTGTTTACGACTATCAACTGTGAAAAGTAAGATGCCAAGTCATAGATCTGTGGTGAAATTATAGTTTCAATGTTGTTAGCAAGTAAAAGTTGTTAGAGATGACTCTGTGTATATTATATATAATTAATCTCTTAGCTGGAATATTATTTGAGGGCTTGAGGCCATATGTAGCCTGTCAGATCAAAACATGCCGTAGAACTTCAAT